GCTCCTGGGATAAAGCCCACTTGGTCGTGGTGTATTATTCTTTTAATTGTTGGATTCTGTTAGCTAAGATTTTGTTGAGGATTTTTGCATTGGTGTTCAATTGGGAGATTGGTCTGAAGTTTTCTTTTTTAGGTTTTGGTATTAGTGTGATGTTGGCTTCGTAGAACATTTGTGGTAGTTTTCTTTCTTTTGCAATTTTTTGGATAAGTCTGTGAGGTTGAGAGTTTTTTAAGGTTGGAAATAAATGGAAGTCAGAATTGGATAAGGCTCTAGATGAAACAAGACTGTGCTAGAATGGGAGGATCATTTTATGACGATTGATAAAATAAGTAGGGCAGCCTTTGCCTGCATGTTGTGACTTTGGGGAACTTTGAAATTTGAGGGTATCTTTCATTTTCTCTTTTCCTAGAGGGAAAAAGAAAACAATTTGTGGTACCCAAAGCTGCTGCTTCAGTGGCTGCCTATAGGAAGATGTAGCAGTCTGTTTCTGAGAATTTGGCAAGCTGGTATATTTACCCAGTGTTCTCAACAACAATGAGTGGAAATGATGGAATAATCTTCTTAAAAGCATCAAGGAGCTAACAAGGCAGTAAAGAATTTCTAAGCCAATCTAAGTGAAGAATGGTATCAGAGAAATAAGTAGGACACAGCATCACTTCTGGCTTTATCCCACAATTTTGCTTTTGATTTTTGTTCTTGGGCTGCTTGAGAGGATTTTTAAAGTTCAGAACTCTATATTCACCCAAAGGGGTAATTTATTAAGTGATCCTTACCCCCATGTGGAGCACCCAAAGAGTTAGGGGGAAAGGTAAATCTGCCCTATGCACTTGTGTCCAGGAAGAGTGATTTTGGTATCTAGCAGAGCTGAGGGCGGGGTGGGGGGTGGGGGTGGGGGAGGATAGAACCTCTGTTCCTGAGAAGTTGTAACTACCAGTTACCGTCACATGGATTTATAACCCAAATGCTTTTCTCCTGGATGGGCTCAAAATCTTGAAGCCATGAGTTTATATGAATATGATCTTCCAAAGTAGTAATGTCTTCTAGATGCCTGGCTAGAAAACAAATGTAAATTTTCTTTTGAGGAAGATATTGTCATCCATTCCCATAAATAGTTTCTCAGTGACAGTGAGTAGTACACAGTAAAAAATAACTAAGCACAGAAGGAAATAGGGCATTCGGTGCAAGAGCAAACAAACAATAGCCCACAGAGCAGCCCTGCAAAAATTTTGTATACTAGAGTGATCAGATACATGTTTTTTTTTAATTAGTGATTATATATAGAAAGACAATATGTTTTTTTTCCTAATGAGGATTGGGGATACTTAACACTTTTATTTTGTTTTCTTCTCACCACCATCCCTTGTATCCTCTTTGACCCTTTGTCCCACCTCCCTCCTCCTAAGCCTCAATGACCTCACTTCATTTATTAATGATTGCTTATTTCCTAAGTATTTGGCTTAGTTAGTTATTCTTTCAGAATCATTTGCTGTGCAAGTGTCCAGTACTTGTCTTTGTCATTTTAACTATATATAATTCCTCAAACTCCTTCCATTTGCTGTAAATGCAACATTTCATCTTTCTGCCGCTGAGCGGCATTCCATAAAGTGACTAGACCACATGTTCTTGATACAGCTTTCTTCCTGTAGGCATGTAGATTGTGTTCATTTCCCAAGTATTTTAAATAAACATTGTGGATCTTATATATATATATATAAGATCTTATATTAAAAAAATCTATTTATATATATAAGATCATATATATATATTTATATTTATATATATATATAAATTTTTTTTGTATTGATAGTTTACATGCTTTGGAGATAGTGGGCTTTTTCATTGCTATTTCATCTGTTTCTACTCTTCTCATTCTTTTGTGTGTGTGTTTAATTTTGTTCAGTCATTTTATTGTTTGCATGTTCCTTTTAAGTTTTGTTTAGCTTCTACTTCTTTTGTCTTCTGTTATTTCTATTGAATTTTGTTGATGGTCCTGTTTGAGGTTAGTATATAATGGGCTGTTTCTGTGGCTCTTTGGTTTGTTTGGTCTTAAACTTGTTCTGATGGGCCACATTGTCATTCTTCTGTTGTATAAAATAGGCATCTTAGCTGTCTATTTGTTATTCTGCTGCTTTCTAGTAACCTCTTTCTTCTTTCATCTGCAGTTTGGTGTTGATAAATGCTTAGTTTTTGATTTTCAGTGAGGCTCCTTGCCCTTCCTGCTGTTGTTACTTAATCTCACAGGGCAGAAGGCCCCAGGCTGGACATCTTTTTCTTTGAGCACTTTAAATATCTCCGCCCATCCCTTCCTGCTTGTCAGGTTTCTACTGGAAAGTCTACGGACAGTCTAATTGTTGTTCCCTTACAGGTTACTTTTTTCCTCAATGTATTTAATATTCCGTCTTGTGTCTCTCAGCAGTTTTACTGTCATGTGATTGGAGTGTGTTTGTCTGATATTATTTTGTTTGGAGCTCTTTGGACTACTTAGATCAAGGTGTTTGGTTTGTTTCCCGGCATTTAAAGAAGCAATCACTTCTTTAAATCAGTTTTTCTCTGCCTTTCTTATTTTATCCTTCTGAGACCCCCATGAAATGGATGTTATTTCTTCTTAGATTATTCCAAAGAGCTGTTACATGATTTTCTTTTTCCTTTTTTTTTTTGTTCTTTTTTCTCTGTTGTTCTGTCTGTATGTTCTCTGACTTTGTGCTTTTGAGCTCACAGAGTCTCTTTATTACCTTTGTCTGCTGTTGATTCCCCTATTGTATTTTAAAATTAAATTTCTTAGACCCATTAGTTCTAATTGTATTTTCCTATTTTCTCAGTTCTTTATTCTGTTCCTGTTTTCCATCATCCATTATTTGCTTTTTTATTCAGCCAGCATTGTTTTAAATATTACCTTAAACTTCTCTTTCAGGTATATTCCATTGTTCTGATGGGTTGAAATTTCTCTTGGAGTTATTTTGCTCCAGTGCTTGTGATAGGTTCTTATGTCTCTTCATTTTTAGTTTTTATAGGTTGTAATAGGGATAAACTTTCAAACTGCTGCCTTCACACTTGGTACTGGCAAGGGGTAATAAGGAGAAAGAGTTACCTGCAGTGAGCATCAAGGATGCAAGCTTCCTACTTACAGTGGGAAGAGAATAGTGTAGGAGAGATCCACACCAGTCCCTTTCCCGAGGCCAACTCATCAGCCTACATGTCTCTTATGGTATCTTACCAGCCTCAAACTCTAGGCTGTGTTTGAACATTAGATGTATTGGTAGGCACAGCTTGTGTTTGAGACGGGGCCACAAACTGGGCGTTGTTCTCTTTACTTTCCCAGTACAGAGCCTTCCCTTAGGGTCTGTTCCCTAGGGAACAACAGAGTCCCCTGCTGTTCTACTCTGGTTAGTGAAATAATTTTTTGTCTCAGTTTTGACTTGGGTGGGGAGAAGGCAGGTGTTTCAAATACCACAGGCTCAGGCAGCAAACCTTAGCCTCCTCTGTGAGGATATACAGGTGATCTGACCTGGCTTTCTCCATAGGTTTGGGTGCCAAACCTGGCTTCTGTTGGGAACCTGAGGCTGCACCCCTGCTCCTATAGTTCTTCAGTAGTGTACCCTCTGTCCTGGACACCAACTTTCTGCACCCCCATATCCAGCACCATGCCAGGTCTTCAGTCCCTGATGTGGGTTTGTGCCCAGAGTCAATAGCTGTAGGGTAGCTCCATACTACCGCCAGCCTCCCCTTGTGAATATGCTGCAAACACAGGTCAACCACAGTTTTTCCTGCCCCTCCCAATGGAGTTGTCTATGTATGCAGTGATCATACCTTTATATTTCAGGGGCTATTGACTGGTGTGAGTTGTGAATATGTAGAGGTGGTGAGCCCTGTATTTTCACTTATTGTCATCTTGCCAGATTCTGTATTGTATTATTAAATAAGTTTTAATTATTATATTATATATTTGTAAATTTCCAAAATTTTTATAACAGACTTTATTACTGACAATAATAAGGATTATTAGTTAAAAGCATAAAGTAAATAGACATTAACTTAAACCCCCACACCCTCCACAGATCCTCAGTTTATAAAACTGCTGAAGAGAGTAGTAAAGTGAATGGTAGTTTTACCTACCTCAGGCATATGTAGATTACAAACTGTAATTTTCTTCTTCTCAAGCTCACTTCATAAGTGAGGCAAGCTAAGTACCTCAAAACTACTGAGGGCGTTATCCCCTCCACAGCCCCACCTGAATTAGTCCCTTTCTTGGCATATATCTGGTACTTCTACCATCTGTCCACTGGGTTTGGGCAGTTCTCCAATTCTCTGCATATTTCGTTTGAGTAAATAAGCAAGAGCTTCCTTGGTTATGTTTTATTTAATAACCCAGATTCCAGTTTTTTGTATCCTAAGGAGTGACTTTGATTATCCCCAGTAAAGTCAGGAACATCACACGTCTCTTTTCTTCAGGGTAATGGCACCTCTCTTTTAACTTCCAGGACTTCTCGGAACTTGCACAGTCACTATCACGAGGCCCCACTGACCCGGAAGCACTATCAGGTCACTGGCTATGGCATAGTAAGTGGCCAACTGGAGTGTGAGCAGAATGAAAATTGTGGGGCCTGGCCTAGGCCATGTGGTGGAACACATTCTCCCCGAAGTACGGACTGTTCGTATGGTTGGAGGCTGCCTGGGGCCTCTTAATATTTGGGAACTTCTTATAAAGTCTGTCTATCTCCATTTCTTTCCTCCCATAATAATCATGCCATTTTAAAGTTCTGTCACTTAATAAATGTCAAATATAATTATTTGGGTCTTCTAAAATCATATTGGACTTAGAAGCCACAGACTGGGCCTCTGTCTGGTGGCCCAGGGGTTAAGTCTCAGCGCTGTCACCATGTCTGATCCCGGCCAGGGAGCTGACCCACATGGCACGGCAGACCTCTTCTGTTTTGCCCGCTGCTCTCCTCAGCAGTGGATTTCAGTCGATCTGCCTGGTCTGCTCCCCACTCTGTCTTCTCATCCCCCATCCCCTTGCACCTCTGACTTATACCCCAGTTCTATGCAAAAATGAATAAGTAAAATCTTTAAAGAAAAAGAAAGGAGCCACAGACCCACAATTAACTCCAGCTGAATTTGTTTTTCCTTGGCCAGATCCAGATTCTCACTGGCTTTATTTTAAAGGGTTACTTCCCTGTTCTGCAGAGGAATATTAGCCATATTGCTTTTGGATTTTCACTACCTTGGGATGATGCAGTTAACAGTGGAAACTCTATGGGTAATTATGACTTGGGAGTAACTTGAAAGCAAAAACATTTGGTGAGCAACTGGACTTTATGACTGTTATAGCCCCCTCTCGGGGCTTTGGTGTGTCAGTAAAGATTCTGGGTTCCTTATGGTCAACTTCCCAAACCTCTGTTGCTGTCCCACATTGAAATACAACTAAGACTCTGAACTTTCTCATCTTTTTTTTTTTTTGGGTGGGCATCTACTTAGAAGTGGACACAACTGCCTCATTTCCAAAGTTCCAGACCTTTCTGACCTAGGTGAGCAAGTGTCCAGATGGCCAAGGACTTGAAAACAAGCGGCCCAATCTGTTGGTTCAGGGTGATACCTTGAGTTTGGTTTAAGGGCAAAAACATCTATTTAGAACTTAACTTTAGCCTTGTGAAGTGTACAATTTGACTTCAGATTCCAGGAGTTATGCTACTTTTGTAAGATTTATTTATTTATGCATACAAGAACTAGGGTACAAGCCAGAGTTATGAGGTGGAAGTGAGAGAATTCACCAGAGACCAGTGGGGAGCCGAACAGGCCAACTGATGAAGTACACTGCTGAGGGGAGCAGTGGGTGGGTCAGAAGAGGTCTGCTGCACCCTGTGTGTCACCTCCCTGGCCAAGAATCAAACACATGCTGCAGTGGCTGTGATAGCTTCATAGTGCACCACCAGGGAGACCCGTGTTACTTTGCTTTATATAGTATTGAATGCTGAAGTAATGTCCATCACTTAGGTTTCCATGGCCCTCTTGTTCCCTCTCATACCTCCATCACTGGGGCAAATTTGGCCTTTGACCTTTGTAACAAAGTAGCTTCCGAAATGGTGGCCATCTTCCTTTTCTGACATGTCTTCTCTACAGTCATCTTTCTTTTTTTTTTTTTTCTTGATCTATGTGGCAGAATGGGACAGGGGACTCAAATGATTTCTGGCGGATTGAGGTTGTAAATAGAAAATTTGGAAACCGGATCAAAGTGCTAAGAAGTCGAATCCGCCTCATCCATCTGGTCACAGGCTGTGTCCTGGGCTCCTCGGGAAAGGTCCTGCCCAAGTGGTGAGTCTTTGGGCTTTGAATGTCCCAATTAGAAGCTCATACTTTTCATACTACACAGAGTATACTAGAAGTTTCTATTTCACAATAGTCAATGTTTCTCTCCATGCTTACTTTTTCTTGGTGGTAGGTGGTGGGAGCAAAGACATCAGGTGTGTTCTGGAACAGAGAACTCCCGAGTGGCTTTGGTGTTCAGTGTGTTCTGACAGTAGAACTGTTGTACATCTGGCTTGTGTCCTATGAGTTTTTGTGAAATGGGAATATGTACCTTAGACTACTCCTGAGAGAGTTGTGGGATATAAAAGTGGGAGTTTGAAAAAAGTGTTGCCACTGGCTTGAGAAAAAGGAATTCTGTAGTTTTAAGAGCAGCTGACAGTACTATTCTCTGGTCTTTTGAGAAATGTGTGTGACGACTTTTCACAGGGGCTGGGAGCAGTTGGAAGTTACTTGCACACCATACCTGAAGGAAACCCTCAACTCCATCTGGAATGTGGAGGATCATATCAACCCCAAATGTGAGTGAGGTCACTTTCAGGCTGGCTCTGAAGGGAAACTATAATTACATCTCAGAAAAGTGGACCTTCAGAGACTGCTGCTCCCGCTTGTTGTTGCCATGAGCTTCCTTTTTAAAGCATCGTCTCTTTGATGAGTTATCTAGATAAGTAGCTGCTGTGTCTTCCCAGCCTTAACTCATCTCCCTAACATAAGCAGTGACCTCGCTCGGGACCAGAGCGAGATGCCACTAATCATTTTCCTTGCCTTTCGCTGCGTCTCTTTCCTCGCCACCTGGAGTGCAGTTCCATCTTCCTCTTCTCCTTCTGGGCTTTTCTGTCCGCTGCGCCAGGGGTGCTGGCCCACCCTCAAGACAGCTGGTTCTTTGCCTTTCTGCCTCTGTGGAGAGTGCCTCCCCTCCCCACAGTCGTCAACACTTTTCTAATAAGTGAGGCCATAGCCCTTGATATGATCCCCTTATCTGTGCCCCAGGCTCCAATTCCTCCTTCAGTATCATCTTCAACTCAGTAAGTCTTTGGATTCATCATTCTTCCTAAACTCTGCCCCTTCAAACTTCTGCTTGATTTCTCTTCTCTGTACTCCCCATTTTATTCTCTATACCACATTTAACCAGCTAGTTAATTGACTCTTCATTGAATATGTCAGGAACTGTGAGGACCCCTGAGATATATTGTTGAATGATATAGACCTGGCCCTGGCCTTACAGACCTTGTGTTTAGTAAAGGGAGAACAGCTCTGAACCAGAACTACAGCGAAGGGCATGGCGTTGAGCCCTGGGCCTGGGCCTCATTAACAACTTGCCTTTGTATTTCGGGCCACCTGATAGTGGTTAGGACAAACTGAGTGAATCATCAAAGACTGGGTAAAACTTGCTTTCCCCCCTCAACACTCATCTCCTTGTCAATCAGCTTGTCAGGACTCTGGTGGCAATGTGGATATCCGTGGACAGATGTGGGAGAATATGTGACAAAGATTTTCCTCTTGTCATTTCTTCCTCTAGTGCCAAACATCAGTCTGGACGTGCTGCAGCCCAGTTTTTCTGAGATGTTGCTTGAGTCCCACATGGTGATGATTCGGGTATGTGATGCCTTCCCATTTGGTGGCTTCTCTCAGCTCTTGACCATCCCCAGATTTAGATCACAAACCAGCAGGCATGGTATAGAGTCACTGCCTCCTAGTGGAGAACTTTGAAAGTGTAGTCACTTCTGGGTTTATGGGTCTGCAGAGGCACTTCCCTTAGCAGGCAATGCTGGCAGTGGTGGTGCTGACACTGATGACACCTGTCATCATTCTGTAGCTCTTCTGTGTCAGAACCTGCTTAAGTACTGTACTTATATTAACTAATTTAATACTGGTGTAAGCCTATGAAGGTTATCATTCCCTATTTACAGCTGAGGAAATTGAGGGACAGAGAAGTTAAGGAACATGCTCAGGGTCACACAGCTAAATGGACAAAGTAGACCCAGGCTTCAAAACCAGGCTGGAAGCCTATCAGAGTTAGCGCTGGTTACTACTACATTCCTCTGCCTCGGAGTGATTCTCTCTCTGGCAGAGAGCCTGCTCAATCATTGTGCTCTTGGTTGAAGATCATGGGACTTGACTGATCATTCATTCCATCAAATGAATTTGGACCAACTCAGGTGAACAGCTAACTTGAGCATGGTGCTTCCATGCTATATAAAATCCCAGCCATGAACCCTCTTGTATTCCTGGGCATGGTTGACTCTTCAAGGTTTTCTAAGATGTATTGTTTGTACTTTCATAGTAAGTGACAGTGGTCAGCATAGCATCAAGGGCTTAAGGCAACTGAGAGAAAATCTTGACATGAGATAATTCTACCGCTAGCTTATGTTTTCCCTGAGAATTGGAGAAACTGCTGCCATTTTGATGTTAAGGGAGAGACCCCTTTACCCAGGCTATGGAAACCCAGTGTCTGCGGATGTGTAGAATCAGCTGTATCTCAAGCCAGATGTGTGATAGTCGCTGCACCCACGGGGTGCAGAGAGGTGCTGTAGTTGTTTTTCCCTGGTGAGCACCTGTCAAATGGATTTTCTTGGAAGTGATTATATAAGCAGTTCAGAGTAAATATAGTTGACTTATTTCACCAGATTAAATGAAAAAAAAAATCAAATTTTGTCATTTCTGCACATTGGGAGGTGATGAGTTGACACTCAGCAATCTTTGGGTCACTTCTTCTCTGACCTGCATCTTGCAGCTGTCACTGTGGCCTGATGACATATTTCTTTGGAATATGTGCCTGTCAGTCAAAACGTCTTTCCAGTCTGGGTAGAATTTTAAGACAAAGTCTAAATCATTTATTTCTTTCATTGTCTAAGAGGCAGAGTCAAAGAAGAAAGGGACATAAAATATCTTTTTTTGTTCAACTGATAGAGTCAGGATGGGGAGAGAGCTCAAAATAGTGAGTTGGGCTGCTGAAGCTAAGGACTTTTCTGCTAGCTGAGTGGAGGGTTGAGCCTCGGGCAGAGCAGGCTGCCCGCGGGGGGAGGGGCGTGGCTGAAACGAGCCCACTCTCAATTTTTAAAAAAAATATTTATTTATGCATACAGAGTTGGGGTACAGGCCAGAGGTGCAGGGGCAGTGAGAGGATTCACCAGAGACAGAGTGGGGAGCAGAACAGGCCAACTGACAAAGTACACAGCCGAGGGGAGCAGCGGGTGGGTCAGGAGAGGTCTGCCGCGCTATATGGGTCACCTCTGGGGTGGGGATCGAACTTATATTGAAGTGGCTTTAGCTTCTTGGTGCTGTTTTAAACCGCTGCGTCACCAGGGAGGGCCCCTGCTCTTGATTTTTTTTTTTTTAAGATTTTTTATTTATTTATACATATAGAACTAGGGTACAGGCCAGAGGTGCAGGGGTGGTGAGAGGATTCAGCAGAGACAGAGTGGGGAGCAGAACAGGCCAACTGACAAAGTTCACTGCTGAGGGGAGCAGCGGGTAGGCCAGGAGAGGTTCCGCTGCACCATGTGGATCACCTCCAGGGGTGGGGATCAAACTCATGCTGAAGTGGCTTTAGCTTCTTAGTGCTGTGCCACCAGGGAGGGCCCCCCCTGCTCTTGATTTTAAGGGTAGAGAACCCCATACAAATGCTCCTGCCTCCACTGGTGACAGATTTCTTTCTTCCATTTATTGCTTTAGTAAAGTTGCTGAATTTCTCAGAATTTAATGTAGTGAATAAGATACCCTTAACTTGTAACAGCTCTGGCAGGGAATCCCTGAGTTTAGGACTGGACTGTTCTGCTTTGAAGGAATTGATTTCTCTTATCAGCTGCTCCAGGGGGGTCCAAAGTGATTCATTCTTCATCCTGAGGCCCCTCATAAGGCAGAATGGCTCAGGGACTGGCACTGGGTTGACTTTGGGTCTGACACATGCACCCTCCTTCCCCTCCCACCACTATACACTTAGCACTCTAGCTCCTGGAGGAGGAACTCAGCCACCATGGGGAGGCCTGTAAGTGAGTCCCAAACCCTTGAGAGCAGGATTAGTAAGATCCTCGTGGACAGTTCACTGAGCCAGAGCTTCTGGATCTTTCTTGGGTTAGGTTGGTGGTTCTCAACAAGGGGGTGATTTCACTTCTTGGGACATTTGGCAAGATCTAGAGACATTTTTGGCTGGCATGTGTGCAGGTGCTGCTGGCGTCTAGTGAGTAGAGGCAGGGAATACTAAACCTCCCACCCCTCACAGGACAGTCCTCACTCCAGAGCCTTCTCCAGCACCCCATGTAAGTGGTGCTGAGCTTAAGAACCTGACCTTGCTCGAAGCGCCGTTTCCTGCTCAGGAAGCGCCTGTGTCTCACGGCGAGACCTGCCTGGTGATTGGTAGCAGCGATCCTGATCTTTTTCCTTTTTGTTCTAGCAAGGCCCTGACTTGGCTATTCTTGGCTTCTTTGTAAAAGACACTGAATATGGTTGCTTCAGTTTGCAGTGTGTATTTTCACCCCCTACAACATCATTCCCAATGATGAAAGTGCATCTGGGGCACAAAACAATCTCAATTTTAAAAAAAATGTACACAGTAAGGCACTCATGTAGTATATAAACAGATTTCAGTGTAACTGTGATATAAAATGGCATGGGGGGGCATTTAGGAAAAAAAACTCTAATAGTAACTTTCTCAGAAATGTTCAGGAACTTATGGGGAATAACCACTGAGATGGGAAAAGGCACAAAATGATGTAAAAATAAGCTATTATTAAAAAAAAGGTTCAGGAATTTACCAGAGTTTCAGGTTCTCTGTCTAAAACTGGCCTCCCAAGGAAGGGGACTGGTCCTTGTTTCTCTTTCTGTCAAGCACAGAGAGTCTGAATGGACTCCCTGGTGGGAAAGTGGAGGGGTGGGCTTGTTGGGAGTGCAGGGGCCTGGTGACAAATGAGGGAGTCAGAGAAGGGGGGGGCTTGCCACTTGGCCTATTATCTGATATGCCTTTACCTCACTTTTCTGTCAGCTTTCTAGATCTCTGCCTTGACTGACTTTTCTTTGCCACTTTCCCACAGGGAAACAATGGCCTCAAACCCAAGGACAACGAGTTCACGTCCAAACCCTGGCACTGGCCTATCAACTATCAGGTAGGGTATGAGGCTGAGCTGCTCCCAGGAAATGAGGCCTGCGGAGGGTGCAGGTCAGTTGAGGTGGGGAGCGAGGATGAAGCCCGAGGCCTCTCCTAGTGTAGGGCGGTGGGATGTGGGGCTCAGTTTGCTGTTGATTCCGACAGCCTCTTGGAGAGCGCACATAGAGCTTGCAAGTCCTGAGACTTCGGGCAGGCTAAGCCTACCCGTGAAAGGGGACTGGCTCCCTGCCTCCCCACTCTCAAGTGCTGCCGCTGCAAAGGCCTAGATGTCGGCAAGCCATGGGAAATGTCTGAGCTGGGCCCCAGACAGCAGTGTGTCCTCTGCTCCACAGGGCCTGCGCTTCTCGGGCGTCAATGAGACGGACTTCCGAGTGTATCTGCTGGGCAATCCGGTGAGTGTGCTGTGCCTTCCGGCTGGGCCCTCCAGCTGCGCCTGTAGAGAGGCGGCTCCTCTCACCCTGCTCTCTCCTTCTCCCCGCAGGTGGTTTGGTGGCTGAATCTGTTGAGCATCGCCCTCTACCTCCTCGCAGGAAGCACCCTCACCATAGCTGTGCAGAGAGGCGCACATCTGCCTGCAGAGGTGGAAGGTCCGGGCCTTGGGTTCGCACTCCCCTGACCTTGAGGGCTAGGGCGGCTGCCTTAGGCCTGACTCTGCCTCCCCTACCCACGCCCCTCTCCTTTACTTAAAGCTCAGTCCCCAAATGCCCAGTGGGGTGTTAATGAAGTCATACCCTCTCACCAGCTCTGTAGGGTGGGTTATGGTTAGCCCCCTGTTAGGGGTTAGGAACCCAAGGCATTTGTCCCTTGCCCTGGGACATATCCTAGTAAGGATAGACGTGAGGGTCAAACACAGGTAGTCTGAGTTCAGAGCCTGCCTTCCCTGTGAAGGTCTGTGCTCCATCTCTCCTCTTCTGCCCCCATGCCCACGGCCTATGATCCTGCCCTAGAGAGGGTAGTAGGGAACCCTCAGGGCATAATCTGTGGCACCATTCCTCGTACCTAGCTGCCAGGCAGCAGACCACAACACCTGAGACCTTCTCACAGGCTCTTTGGTCTCTGCAGCTTCCACTCGAGTGGCCGCAGTCCCAGATCTCTCTCGCCCAGCTCTACCCTCACCTCTCACTTCACCTCCTCCCTCTGCTGCTGCAAAGGTCTAGAGGCGGCAGCCATGGGAAATGTCAGGAGGGGGCACCATGTGTAGGCACACAGGACTGTGGTTCTCAGAGACCAGGCCGCCTCCCGCTGGTGTCTGGTGTCTCTCTGTGGGCCTGAGGCCTGTCCAGCCAGCTCCTCTCCCCCAGCTGCTGTCGGGTTGCCGGGTGGCTCAGCGAGAAGGAAGGCCCACTGCGCCCACTGCGGTTACTGGCCTGATCAAGTGACGCTGCAGGAGGGGACAGAGCCTCTGTCCTCTCCGTGCTGCTGACCAGACTGTGCTGCCCGGGGCCCAGGGCTGTCCCAGGTTCTGCTGTGTGGCGGTGGCCAGCTCCTGCTCGGCTGGGTGCTCCATTACTTCCCGTTCTTCCTGATGGGCCGGGTCCTCTACTTCCACCACTACTTCCCAGCCATGCTCTTCTCCAGCATGTTGACAGGTCAGCGCCCGCCACCACCTGGACGTGAGTGGGAGGCCTGGGGAGGGTGGGGCGGAGGCCCCTGCGGAGCGGCAGAGCTGAGCGTGCTCGCCCGCAGTCCCTGGCTTTTTCCTGCACCCCCAGCAGGCGCCCCTGTGTGCTAGTAGCCTCTTCGTTCGCTAGGCATTTTGTGGGACACGCTGCTGAGGCTCTGTGCCTGGAGACTGGCCACACGTTCCTTGGCCAAGGGCATCCATGTGCTGGGGATCCTGAGCCTGCTCCTGGGAGCTGCCTACAGGTGAGCGAGCCTGCACCTGATACTGCTGCCCCCAGGTGCACACATGGTACCTCAGCCCTGGGTGCATGTTAGCATCCCTGGGGCTGCTGTTCAGACATACGGGTACCTGCGCTCCAGTTCCAGAAGTTCTGATTCAGATGAGGCCAGTGAGCCTCAACTCTCCAGGAGACCCTGGTGTGCAGCAGCTGCGAGGAACAGAGACAAACTCTTTCCCTCTTTCCTCTGCCCCTCACTGGCACACCTGGATGGGGTTGCACGTTAGTGACAGTGGCTCCCTACCACAACAGCTCTCAGTGGGGTTGGCTGGGGAGGCCAGTAGAGGAGTCAGGGTGTGTGTGGTGTGGTCCTTCCAGAACAACGGAAAGGAGGGTTTTAGAACCTGCCCCATCTTCTTGCCAGTGTCCCAGAACCCTGATGAGAACCACTGGCCTCTGGGTGGGGAGTGATGTCAGAGCGTGAACAGGGACTGTGAGCGGGAGCACTGTGGGCCAAACCACCACGGCCAGGGCCTGGGGTGCCCATCTCCAGACCCGTGAGGAGGGCCCTTTCCTTCATTGTCGTGGGTCCCCATCCTCAGCGCTCAGGCTGCAGTGAGCCCAGAGGCAGACTGGGCATGAAAGGGGCGGGCCTTGTAGATGGAGGACATGGAACGTGCAGGAGGACCTGGCAGGCCCTCACGGGTGCCAGCTGGATGCCAACTGCTGCCCTCTGGATTCTCTCTCACAGCTTCTACCTCTTCCAGCCTCTGGCTTATGGGATGGTTGGTCCTCTTGCCCAGGATCCCCGAAGTCCCATGGCAGGACTCAGGTGGCTGGAATCATGGGACTTTTGAGGCTACTGCAAGGGCTCCCGCTGAGTCCAGGACACCCCCCTGGACAACCAGCCGTGGAACCAGCCCCCGGCCCTCCCCGCTGTGGAGGAAGCCGCCGAGGGGCAGCAGAACCTGCCCACCAGGATGGCGCTCTGGGCACATGCCTAGGACTTATGCCCACACCAGCGAGCCACGGTTTACCTGCAGGTTCCACCGCCGTGGTGGCTCAGCAGCAGAGGACATCACTCAGGCTCCTTTCCCCAAGTGCGACCCGAGGAAGAGTGAGTGTGTGAGGGTGGGAGTGCGCGTGCGTGCGTGCAGCTGTGTGCCCTTATCTCCGGGAATACAAGCTCACTGTGAACAGCTGAGTGTCATAAACTCTAAGAACTAGTCCAGGGCTTCCTGGTGTTTTCTGGTATTTTTCACACTGGATTTGTCTTGTAAGCAAAATGTATCAAAAATTCTCTTAACTTCCAAGAGGGCTGAGCAACCTGGCCCCACCTTGGGACACCACCAGGGCTGAGCAGATGGTCACGTCCGGCCTCGCGGCCTTCTTCCTTCAATAAGCACAGCGGAGCCGCAGAGCCCGAGCCTCCAGTGGCCTCTGCCGCCCTGCTGTGGGGCTGTCTCTGTGCAAGTAGGTGGCTGTGGGCGCGTGCAGGGGGCAGAGAACTCAGCTCTCAGTCGGCTCTCTGCAGGGTCCCTGCCTGCTCTGGGGGCGTCTCCTGCCCTGAGGCTGGTGGGCAGAGCAGCACCTGGCCTGGCCCGGCAGGTCAGAGGCACTTTCCCTTGAACTGTCCTCCCCCTGCAGCCTCTGCGAGAGTGGGACAGTGCCTTCAGGTGTCTGGGAGAGCCTTGGGGTTGGGGGAGCTCTCTCCACAGCCGAGGGAGATTTGAGGCAGAGCGGGGCTCTGTGTGGGGCTGGGCTGAGGGGTCCAGTGGGGCACAGGGGTGAGGGCTGCTCCAGCCCCGTGGGCTGCTGTTCACGTTACTCGCTGGGCCGTCCCTGCCAACACCCTTCACGTTGTGTCGTTTCCCCTTCTGTAACATTTTCACCCTCTCCAAAACCCAGAGCATCTAAAAGTGCATTCCAGTTTCTCTCTGCAGCTTTGACGCCCAAGAAGCTCAGAGCTGTACCTTCTACTTCCTCCCCAAGTGAAAGGGGTTAGAAAACCTGTGGGTCAGAACCGAGCCCAGCCGAGGCCAGCTCTTCCACTCCCGCCGCCTCCTGCTGCCTGACAGGATACTTTGTCTCTGGGGACGCTGCTGCTTCCAGGTCTAATGATGACTCTGCCGCACTCCGTCTCCCCTCCTCTGTGGTCCCCACCAGCTCAGCCGGGGTCAGAGCTCTTTAGAGCATCTCTGGGAGACGGTTGCCACGGAGACGGGAAATTGGTCCCAGGGACACGCTGTGCTACCTTCTGGGCGGTGGGGAGGGAAGCTTCTGGCCACGCTTGGATGTTCAGACCAGCCAACATTAATGTTAATAGAGGAAATGCAGCAATGTCAAGAGCAAGGCAAGTTTGTTAATCAGATCTGGGGCCTGATGACCTCTCTCTCACAGGGCTCTGGCCCCCTTCACTTCCCCTAGCAGGAAGCACTGCCTGTGTGCTGAATCTGGGCAGCCCGCTTAATTGCATTTCTGGAAGGGAAGGAAAGCAAGGGGTGGAGAACCCCCACCTCCCCCTCCCACACACCTCCAGCCCTCTTCCTCCCCCATTGTCTGTGGGCTGTTTCTGAGCCAGGGGAGGCCTCTCCTGGGGGTAGGGTGCAGAATCCATGCTGGGCTCTTAGCAAACAACAGTGGCCCCGAGGCCAGCCAAGACTTAATTGATGTTCCCTCACACTTCTTCATTTCCTACCAGGAGCAGCTTGAAGGAGCAGGAGGACCACTCTAGTAGGCCGAGCAAGGCAGAGCCCCCCGGCTCCCTGCCTTCTCTCTCAGTGCGGCTATGCTGGTGCCAAGGGCTCCGCACCTCCTCCCCTTGCTTTCCAGGGCCACGAGACGTGTTCTGTGCCCACTCTCTCCTGTCCTCGCCCAGGCAACAGGCATTTCTCTGGGGACAAGACACCTGGGTTGGTGCAGCTTGACAGGCTTCACGTCATGTTGTTGGAAGGTGCTAGGGAGAGGGCTTCCAGGACTGCACTCTGAACATGGACGCTGGCCCCCAGGAGCTGGCAGAAGTGTGACATCCCAACCACTCATGTGCCAGTGGAAGAAGTTGGCCCAACCTCCAGCCAGCTTCTTGAACACCTTTCATATAAATATATATATATATATATAAAGTTTCTAGAGATGATCAGAGGCCATTTACTTTTGTAATAAATAGCTCATTTTGAATGTTGTGTCATTCTTGTACTTAATTGGATCTGACTTGCCTTTTGATTCCCAGAAAGAAGAGAATGTTTGGAGTGACGAACCGTTGCACGTTGCTCATGTCTGAGGCCTTTCTAGTGACAGCAGAGGCTCCGGCTGGGCAGGTGAGCCCTGTTCCCCAGAGCCTTTTGGACCTGCCATGTACAAAGTTACTGAGGCGTGTTGGTGTATTTTGATTTATTCATTCATTCCATAGTAAGAAGACGGGGTCTTATTTCTTCTCTTTCAACCTGCCCCACATTATGGAAAGGAGGAAGGATACTGAACTACTTCCTGCTGAGCAGTCCCCCCCCCCCCCCCCGGTCTTCAAGGGTCTTCTGTTACCCGAGGGTGTTAAGGGTCCAGAGGAGGGGAGGGCTGAGCTGAGTGTTGGGTGGTAGTGACGGAGGAGCGCAACAGCTCTGTGCTGTGAAACTGTCTTCTGGGGGCCCGACTTCCCCGCCCCCATAGGACCAAGCTATGCTGGAGGCCAGGGCTGGGAGGCTGGCGGATCCTCAGGAGGTGGGACATGCAGAGGGCGGGCAGATGGAAAAGGACCAACACTGCTTGGCTGGCCAACTGCATTTATCACGCCCTCTCTCCCAGCTGCATGGAGCTCCGAACTCTCCCCAGTCTACCCAGAGAGATTAGTTACTTGCCCAGAGATCTGTGGGGAGGGGAGGAAGAGGTCAGTGAACAGCAGAGCCAGCCCTGGACGCCCAGTTGGGCTTTCTCTGTTTCTCCTGGGATGAGACACCTTCCCAGAATAATGCACAGCCCTGGACCCACTGGGGAGAAGGCCTGGCTGAGGTCTCCAGACCCAGCACGTAACTTTATATTCTTGACCCTTTGATGTCTCATCTAAGGTCAGGTGTTTCCTGGTACATCCAAACCAGTAGTTTGCTGGGAAGTAAAAAGTCCTGACCTGTAGCATTTGCCAATTTCCATGGTGTAAATATTCTCCCATCTCAAGCTACCAACGTGATGTCACAGACTGAGAAGCTGGAAAGATGCACACAGTTGGCTCTTAAAAACTATCTAAGATTTACCTCCAACTCCACCAGGGACCTTGGCTTAGTCTGGACTGTGGACTCAGGTCTTGGTCACAGTCCATTGAAGAAGTGAAGGAGGCCGGGCAGCATGGAGGCCTAGACCTAGGCCAGAATCTGACCTCAATTACATCGTGTCTTGGCCCACCACTAATTAATTGTGTGACCTTAACCTCTTTTCTTCATTTTCCCCACCTGCAAAATATGGGTATAGCAAATAGCATTTGCAGTTAGTTATTAAAAAGATGAAAAAGGTTAGTGAGGCAAACATGGATGCCCAATAAATACTATTATTGATGATAAATCCACCTCAATGACATACTACCTCTAGAATCCTGTTGAACTCTTCTAGGTTAGCGTTTCCTGTCCAAGTCATGGGCAGATGCCAGGCCAGGAAGGCAACACCTGTGACATTTTCCCAGCTCCTCAAATGTGAATTTAGACCCTTGATATCCTGGTTGGACCACAGCACCTGGCTGCCTGGATGCAGGCCTCTTGTTCAGGGGGAGCAGAGATTAAAGGATTTAGCCACTCCTGGCTTGTCTGCTCACTAGTTAAGAACATTATCAGACTCATCGAAAGGAGAAAAGAGGCAGAAAGTGTCCCGAGGGTAGGCTGTTGCCTTAGGTTAGCCGAGTGGCCTGCACAGAACACGGGCATCTGGCTCAGAACGGTTAGAAGTCACTGGAGACAGGTGGTCTGGGAGCTGCTTAGCTGGCTGCTCACCTGGCTGCCGAGCTCTTGAGTCCTCTGGCCCACTCTTGTCATCCCCAGTCCCTTCGTGCTCTTGCATGGCAAGACATAAGCCAGACTGCCTTGTCATCTTGCCAACCTGTGGCAAGCCAGAGACCCTGCAGGGGTGTGGAGAGCCAAGAAAGAGGAATGAGGTATATTCCAAACTCCCGAGTCCTTGGGAGAGCAGGTGAGATGGTTTCATTGGCCCTGGCTGAGAGCAGGAAAGAGTTCTGCTAAGGCCCCCAGTCCTGAGTCAGGGTCAGGAGTTCTAGAAGGCAAGGACTCAACACTCCATGGCCCAGAGCTCAGTGACCAAAATGCATCCATCAGGTATCTGTGGAACCCAAGGAAATGGATGGAGAGGCCCCTAGAGACCTCACTACCCACCCCCCTTTCCATGAAGCTGCACAAACCACACTACAAGGAACTAGGCTCAGGGACTCAAAAATGAGGCAAGGTCCATGAGGGGGACAATGGACTTCTTCTGGAACTTGGCTGAGTCCTGAGGAATGTTAGTGCTTGAAAACGAAAAGTTGGCCCTCCCTGGTGGCACGATGGGCTAGGACGCAGCACTACAAGCTGGCCACAGCTACTTCAGTGCGAGTTCGATCCCCGGCCCCAGAGGTGACCCACATGGTACAGCAGACCTCCCCTGTCCGGCCTGCTCCCCTCAGCAGTGTACGTCGTTGATCTGCCTTTTATGCTCCCCACTCTGGCTCTGGTGAAGCCTCTCACTATCTCTGCACCTCTGGCCTCTACCCTAGTTCTGTATGCATAAATAAATAAATTTTGAAAAGAAAAGTTTAGGCCTAATTGGCTGGAACTCACACACTGAATGGCAGCCATGAAATTTCGTTGCTGCTTTTCTATCCAAAGACTCAAATAATACTTCTCTGTAAAGTTTTAAAAGAAAGTCTATTAAAGCTGCCGGAATAGTAGAAGGCTGGGCTTGACTCCCAGTGTGCAGAGCACATGCTCACACGTGCTGTGGATGTCCTGCCCTGGCCAAGCAGAACAGGTTGGGGCTGGAGTAGCCAGATTTCTCAAGACAAGCCTACAGAAAACCAAGGCCGTCCGCCTGGCTGGCTTCTAGGCCTGACCCTGTGGCCACCATCTGGGCTGGTGCCTCCGGCATAGGTAGAGTGCCCCACCCTCAGCCTGGTGGCACAGCCTGGCACCCCCTGTTCCGAGGCTGGGACAACCCTTGAGTGGTGTTGGTGACCTGGCACTGCAGAGCTTGCCTAGGACGATTGCAAGCAACACGGTGCCCTCACTCTAAGTGATAATGTCATCACCAGTTTCCAGCGCAGAAACTGAGGCTTCCAGATGCTCCAGGACGAGTTGAACCTGCGATGGGTCTTTTCGCAGGCCTGGGTGGTCGGGGGGTTAGAGGCGTAGCCCCGAGAGGCGCTCTTGATAGACGGGATGGGGGCGGGGCGGCGTCACTTTAAAACTCCCCAACCCCGTGGCGCGGGGCGGGGCGCTCTCGGAGCCTCGGGGCTCAGGGCACCGCGCGGCTGGACCCCGCCCCGCAGAGGCGCGGGGGCCGAGCGGTGCGGAGCGGCCGTGTCGCCGCAGAGATGGAACGGCACGTGCGGTGACGGTCCCCGCGCTGAGGGTCGCAGCCTCGCGCCCCGTCCCCGGGCGAGCATGGAGGGCCCGGAGCCGGAGTTGATCCGGCAGAGCTGGCGGGCCGTGAGCCGCAGCCCGCTGGAGCACGGCACTGTCCTGTTCGCCAGGTGAGCGCGGCCGGCTGGAGTCCCTGGGGTGCGGGTGGCGGCCTCGCCAGGTGGGGTGCGAGGTGTCTGGATCAGAGAAGAGCGAAAACTGGGCGCTGGGACTGGCACAGCTCCGGATGTGCGCCAGAAAGCGGGTCGCAGCGAAGGACTGCGAAGCCCCCACCCCCTGCTCTTCCCCGGCGGTGGGCACCTCTGTCGAGCCAGCACCGCACCCCCATCCCAACCTGGTTTATGGGGGGCGGGGGTGCGGAGGGGGCGTCCTCTCTGAGGGACCTCACAGTCGGGTCTGCAGACGGATTCCCGCGCTGCGCCCCGCCCAGGCTCTCTGCCCCCGGAGTGTTCCTTTCCTTGGGTGTTTACTGCCGGGTACCCACAGCTGGTGGTCAGAAGAGACTGGCCCTCAGGGCCCAGGCGGGGAGGGTAGGCGGGAGTCTGAGAGGTGAGGCATGGGGTGCTCCTCAGGAGTGTGTGGTTCGGAACCAGCGGAAAGATGAACCTTTCAGAGGACAGAGCCAGACTAGGACCTGAAAACCCCCAGGGAAGAAGTGACAGATTCCCTAGTCTGGCTACTGGAGTGGAGAGAGGGTGTTAAAGGATTTGGTAGACCCCGAGGGGGACTTAAGCTTGAGAGTCTCTGGGTGTCACTCTGCTGTCCCTAAGGAAGCCGCACTTCCTTCATGGGGCTCTATGTGCCAGCCCACAACTTCTGAGGGGCCTGGGCAAAACCGTCTCTCCTGTTTCTTCCCTCAACAAAAGGGGAATAAATTCACAGTTACACAAAACCTTCATCAGCTCAGGATGTTGCTTGAGAGATTTTGTTTGTGCCTTCCCACTTTTCCCTAACACCGCCTTTTTCTGTCACCTGCTGATGCTGTCTAACTCCCAAGCTGTGTGACCTTAGGCAAGTTACTTAACCTCTCTGGGCTTCTGCTTCCTTCTCAGTATATTGGGATAACAGTTGTACATACTGCTTAGGAGTGTAAGGAATACATGAGTTAACAACATGTTAATGTAATAACAATGTTATCCTTAATAATGTTATCCTGACCCAAGAGTAGAAGGAAGAGAGAGAAACTTCCCTAGCCCAACCTTCCCAGAGAACTATGGTCTTTGTGTTTGACGATCCCTTCCTGTCCTAGTCCATACCTCACTCCTCTACTCTATGCCAGGCCTTTCCAGAAGCTTGGGGACACATAGCTCATTCCAGGGTGCACCTCAGAGCCTGAGGAAGAGGTGAAAGTCTAGCAAAGTACAGAGTACCAGTAGGCGGCTATGCTGTAGTTTACACCCAAACTCTGGCCCACCCCAGCTCTACTGCTGGGCTTGTCAGGGCTGGCTGGGCCTGAGGGTGCTCCCGGGGCTGATGCCTGGCCTTCCCCGCAGGCTGTTTGACCTGGAGCCGGATCTGCTGCCTCTCTTCCAGTACAACTGCCGCCAGTTCTCCAGCCCGGAGGACTGCCTCTCCTCCCCGGAATTCCTGGACCACATCAGGAAGGTGAGGGGGCAAGGGGAGCCTTGTGACTCTGGGTCCAGCAGCGCGGTTTCCTGGGAGGGAATGGAGGACTTGTCACAGGGCAAATGGCTTCCGTTGTCTGCCTCAGGACTGCCTCTCTCCCTACCTGCTATTTGCCCAAGTCAGGGCCATCTGCTTCCTGCTGCCCTGCACTGGCCTGGTCCAGGGAACAGGCACAGCCTCTCCTCACCCCTTGCTCATCATGGGGCCCAGCTCGCAGCTGCTCTCAACCTTGACCCCTAGCTGTTGTTGGCACTTACCTATCACAGGCCACACTGGGGCTGGTGACTATTGCAAGCCCACTCCCCACTCTCCAGGCAGCAGGCAGGGTCTTGAGCCCCTCAGAGGAGAGGGGCTGCCCTCACGGTGTGACATCAACAGTTTGGCCACCACAGAACACCTCCTGTATACGGCACAGTTGCCTGCCACCTGTGATCCCCAAAAACTGAGGCCCTGGTGCCGCTCACTGCTGGTGGGGCCCTCTGGACTGGGGCTGTGAGCAGGTGGGGTTGCCCCGGCCTCTGCTTACAGCGGCTCTGGTTTCACGCGGCTCTGGCAGGTGATGCTTGTGATTGACGCCGCGGTGACCAATGTGGAGGACCTGTCCTCGCTGGAGGAGTATCTTGCCAGCCTGGGCAGGAAGCACCGTGCGGTGGGAGTGAAGCTCAGCTCCTTCTCGGTGGGTGAAGGGGGTGGGTAAAGGGCGCCTCCTCTCCCTGTTCTCCCCAACCTCCCTGATCTACTTGCTTTTTCTCTCCTCCCACAAAGCCTCAAATGCTCAGGGCTGGATTCGTTACTTCTCTACTATGTGACCCTAATACTAGCTTGACCTCTCTGAACCTTCAGTTCTTCTCTGGCATGGCATCTCTTAGAGTCATAGGAATTGAGGTGCCTTGGGGGTTCACTGACCAGCTCAGTTTTTGATTACTATGTATAAAACCTGCCCCAAACAAACTGGTTTTGAAAAATGATTTCCAATTATCTGGGTTCAGTGGGGTGGTTCTTCTGAGCCACACGGCCTGGCTGGAATCGCTCAGACTCTGCATTCAGCTGGGAACTGGGCTGGACTGTCCAAGCTGGCCTGTCACTCTGGGATCTCTTTCCCTGTGACCCCTTAGCACTTGGTAGTCTACCCCCTTTATAAACTGGCAACTGAGCCCCGAGAGGGAGTGTTCCCAGAGGACAAGGGTGCAAATGTTTTTCCAGCCTCTGTTCACTTTGCTCTTGCTTGAATGACCAAAACTGGCCCCAAGGATGCATCCGCTGCAAGAGTAAGAAACCCACGGGGGAACTCACTGGGGACTGCTGGTATGGCCACCTCTCTCACGGGCCGGACACCTTGCTGGCCACTGAGCACTGGAGGAAGAGACAGTGTCTCGTTTCCTCTCCAGCCCCTGGCCTTGGGTGACCAGCCAGTAAACAGCTGTGGACTTGGTCTAGCTTATTTTATTATGCTTAAGATTAATAAATGAGAGCCACTTACAGAGGGGCTGCACTCAGGGCTTTGGACAGATGATCTCAGGTAATCACCCAGCGACTTGATGGCTTGGACTTTCACTTTCTCTGTTTCACTGAGAAAGCAACGAGAGTTCGGAGGGGTCACAGAACTTGCCAGAGGTCAGCCAGCTTATCAATGGTGGCGTCCGAAAGTGAACGCAGGTCTTTCTGATTCTAGACACTGGGTCTGCGGCGGAGGACAGGGCATGACAGGGGGATGAGGCCGGGGGAATGACTTTGCTCAGCCTGAGCTGGGGCCCCAGGCAGGGCTTGGCCCCACTGTGGAATGATGCAAAGGCCCAGGGTGGAGTGAAATGCTTAGCTCACTTTCGAGCCTTGCATGTAAGGGAAAAGGGGAACGGATTGGGGCAAAACTCTGCCCAGGAAGCTCTATGTGAGGGAGAACACAGCCCTGGGGTGCCCAGCAGGCCTGGGGCTGTCTGCTCACCTGGGAAATGGCTCTGGGAATGACAAGTTGCCCTTGCCTCTGCAGACCGTGGGCGAGTCCCTGCTCTACATGCTGGAGAAGTGTCTGGGCCCTGCCTTCACGCCAGCCACGCGGGCGGCCTGGAGCCAGCTCTACGGGGCCGTGGTGCAGGCCATGAGTCGAGGCTGGGACGGCGAGTAGGAGGCGGCTCCTGCCTGGCGGCCCCCACCTGCCTGTGTCTGCCGACCTGTGCCCTGTGTCTGTCGCAGCCAAGCTCCCTGAGCCTCCCTGAGCCTCCTTGTGCTGCCCCTTTGCCGGAGTGCAGAGTGATGGGGCTGGGTCTCAGAACCCATCCTCCCAGCGGGGTGCCTTTGATTTCAGGCGCAGCTCCTGGACTCCTAACATCCCCATGGCTTCGTCCTGCCTGCCTCTCCCCGCTCTTCTGCCATGAGGAGGAGGAACGGGACCATTCTGCGGCAGAGGGGGAATATGGCTGGGGAGGGACAGGTCATCCAGAGGGGGGCTCCATCACCCGCCCTGTTCATGTGAGCCAGGGTCAAGTTGGGGAGCGGGCTGGCTGAGCTTCGGGCATTTCCCATCCTGCCATTCATGTTTTTCTCTCCCAGGTGTTAGCTTTTCATGAATACAGACAGGGGCAGTGTTAGGCTCCTCATGTGGGTCAGGCTGCAGGAGCAGTGTGTCAGTGAGTGCTGAGATTGGACAGCATCTGCCAGGCTCATCTGGTCTCGGGGCCTCGTCGGATGCCACCACCTGGCTGGTTTTTCTTCTGCATTATCTCCCTTCCCTTTGCTCAGCATTTCTGGGGGTGCTCCCTTATGGCTCTGTAGGATCGCAGCCAGCTGCCAGGGTCAGGTGGGGAAGGGGGGTGACTTTGCCCAGACACACGTATGCCGGGGACTCTCCCTCACCACCCACCTCCAGTAGGGTCTGGGTCTGTACCCCCCCAACTTCTTTTCTGCCTCTGCCTGCTCTAGCTGTGGGCCACGGCCCCCACCCCTGTGTTTAGTAGCTGTGCTGAGGCTGGTAGATAGAAGAGGGCGCAGCTCTGAGGCCCGGTGCCCTCCCCTCAGTCACCTGCATTTTAATCCTCTGCTCTGTGCTGTGGTTGTATAAACTCACAAGGAATAAAGCTGTTCTGTATGCTTCTCTGACCCTCCAGGACGGGTCTTTGCTTGGATCCTCACTTGTGCCAGGGGAAGCTGCAGGGTGGTGAATCTAGAACATGGTGGGACAATGGGGCCAAGAAGTCAAGACCAAGGTGGCTGAAAAGGCGAGGCCTGGGGCAGCCAGTGGCAGAGATGGAATTAGCGGCCTATGGTGGAAACTGGCTGGCAAGACACCAATCCAGTTCCTCTTCAGATGGAAGAGGTGCTGAGTGGGGCACGTGACTGAGTCCTGGCCAATGAAACGTGTGGACACGCGCCTCACTTCCAGGCCTGCCCCCAGCCCCCCAAACTCCTGCAGCCTTCTCCATGCTGCCATTGTCTTGTTGGCTGGATGCAGACCTCATGGGGACAGAGAGAGCTGGTGTTCAACGTGACAGCCATGGGGAGAGAGAGGGTGGCTCCCCAGGGGAGGACACCTGCTTCAGAAGTGCTTGGCCAGTCCCAGCTCCCAGTGACTCACCCATTTCGAATTGCACAGTGAAGACACAGCAACTTCTATAGGCTTTGTGCCATTATTCTTTTGGGGATTTGGCACACCTGGAAGTCCAGAGCCTGAGGCAGCTCACTGGCGGGGGGCCTGGATGGCCACCTTCTGGTGGGGCAGGTGAGCCTAGGGGCTCACAGTGGACCATGTGCCAGGACAGCAGCAAGGGCACCAACCCTGGTAAGGTCATCATGGAAAGCTTCTAGATCCTCCTTGGAAGGGCTGGTGCCAGCCCGTGGTGGGCTTCTTTTTTTTTTTTTTTTTAAAGATTTATTTATTTGTGCATACAGAACTGGGGGACAGGCCAGAGGCTCAGGGGTGGTGAGAGGCTTCACCAGAGACAGAGTGGGGAGCAGAACAGGCAGAAAATGAAGTACATTGCTGGGGGGAATAGGGGCAAGACAGGAGAGGTCTGCCCCGCCATGTGGTCACCTCCAGGGCAGGCGGGAATCGAACTCATGCAGAAGTGGCGTTAGCTTCTCAGTGCTGTGCTTTAACCTGCTGCGCCACCAGGGAGGGCCACTTAAGGAGAATTTTAAAAAGGTGCACATTACATTGCATCGAAGAGCAGGGGTGTGTCTTCCTTCCTCTCTATTCCTGGTCTCAGCCCTGCCCCCCTCTCCCGTGTTCCTTCTCATCCTATCAGCCTACAGCCCCCATCTTTTGCAACCCCCAACCCCTTTTCTCCCCTCCCCTCTCCAGCTACCACCCTCTCTTCCTTTGAGAGCAAAACTCTTCCACACAGGATTCTTCCCTCCCCGTGCTCCTTTCCTCACTTCTGAGGGAACGGCCCTCATCGGCCAGGCTGTCACCGCTCCCGCAGGGACAACCGCCATCCTGCCCACGTCAGGGACGTTCCGGTCTTCATCTTGCTCTTCGGTCAGCGGCACTTGGATGACCCTTTCCTTTGGAAAGTTTTTCTTATGGAGAAATGTTCACACACGGAAAGTCGAGCTTAGTGACTTTCCACAGACTCTCCTGCAGCAGCGATGAGGGACACAAGGTCTCTCCTGCCCTTTCATCTTGCTGCAATGAAGTCCAACACTCCGTGTTATGTCACCTCTTAAGTCTTTCAGTGAACTTCTAGCTGGTACATTCCTTTTTCACCGCTCAACCCGGCCATCAATGTTCTTAACACGATGACTAGAAGCTCAACATCCCCTATGCCCAGGCCCGGGCCCCCCAGGGCCCATCAGGCTGCCTGATGGCTCAGAGGGGTCTTTCTGCTGGGGCTCTGAGCAGCTCAAGATGCACCCAGGGCCACACACTGCATCCGGCTGGCTCCTCAATCATCCTTCTCCACCAGCCCCGCCTCCATCCACCTCCCACTGATCTATGGGAGAAACTGGGCCACCTGTCCAATGGCCCAGCCAGAGTTCTGACTGGGCCGTGCCTCTGCATGGTGTGCTGAACACGCCCCTCTGTGCCTGTACTTGCTGCCAGTGTGGTGAGAGCGAGGGTCCCTCCTTCTGTGCCCTCCCTTCCTTGACTTTGGGGACATAGGGCTCTCCTGGTTTTTCTCCTTCTGTCTCCCTCGAAGATTCTCCTCCCCGGCTCCCTGCACTTGTCTCTATGTTCTCATCCACATCCATGATTTAAACACCAACCAGGGACTGGTGACTCCCCACTTTACACCCCCAGGCTCACTCCTGCATCCCCCAGACCCCTGCATTCTCCACCCTCCATACCCCCATGTCCCTGAGGCATCCCCACGCCTGGTATTCCCAGGACCTGTTCCTTCAGCACTCTCTGCCTCGGTAAGCCAGCCTACCCAGTTGCTCTGCAGAAGGGCTGGACGCCATCTTTGCTTCCTCTCAGGCCCAACATCAAGGTCGGCCATGGACCCTCAGACCTAAATGTCTTTCTCCTTCCTCATTCCCTGGCTGTCCTTGTCAAGCTTCTTCTTGCTCCTGGGTGTCTCCCTCCAACAGGGCTCTCTGCTTCCACCCAAGACCATGCCACTTCCCTGCTCAGAGGGAAGCTTCCCCCACTTAGCCCACAAAGCCTCCCGCCACTCTGCAGAACCCCATTTGCCCCCTCAGGCCTCCGAGGCTGCCTGTTCCTGCAGCCTCTACTAGCTTCCAGGACTCCTCCCCACAGAGGGTGTCCTGGGTCCCCCCTCAACTCCAACCACTTCTTATCCTGCTTTATTCTTTCTTCAGTGCACGTGTTCCGACACCCCATGATATAATTTGTTATGTAACTTATAACTTATTGCTGTAGAAACAGGAGGCCGGATGAAAGCTACGGACAGGGCTGTGGGTCTCAAGGGAGGAGGAGATTCTTCAGACCCTTGCCAAAGGCGATAAGGTAGCCCGAAGTGACCAGAAGCCTGGTGTGTCCCTCCGCTGCAAACAATATTACTGCAGAGCCAGATGATGTAACATCGGTCATGTCTGTGCCAGGCATCTTAGAAGCCAGAAGCTAGATCTTTAGGGCTGACCTCTGGCTGCCTACCAGGCCCTTGGCATCTGAGCCCCCGGAGCTCCGGAGTGAAGCTCCAGGCGGCTCAAGGGGCGGCTCTGCCGAGTGAAGGCAGGAGACTCAGTGGGTGCTGGGACCTGCTTCCCTGATTCCAGGGGTGCGAAGCTGTGATCCTCCCTATACCTCCCATCACCTATAAAGTGGGGTGCTTAGGTTCTTCACCAGGAATTTTGTTCCGAGATGGACACTGGGATTGCTGAAGCTCTCCAGGAGCCCCACATTTGCAGCTGGGATGGAGAACCCCACCTTTGCAGCTGAGGTAAGCAGAGCTGCTCCATCAAGGGAAAAGGACTCACCTTCTCAGTAAACAACCGCTGTTGGAAAAAAAAAAAAACTGTGCCACCCCCCACCCCATTAGCCAGGGTCTGTTGCACTCCCCAGGGCCACCACAGGGTGCACCCAGGACACCCGAAGTCAGCCAGCATGGAGAGTCCTCAGGGGGGACCAGAGCTGCCTCAGCATGGCTCTGGTGGGGGGAGCCGGCGTGAAGGAGCCTGGAAGTGCCCAGGTTTGGCCTCTGCTTCCAGCCCTGCAGAGCCCAGCGAGTCACTCAGTCAATGCACCCAGCCCCCAGGGCAGACCCCCTCCGGGCCTTGGGTCTCCCTGCTGTAAGGAACAAGGGGTACCGGGGCTCTCTCGGGCCTCCCGCGCCCAGCCTCTACACCGCCACCGGCAGCCTTGCTGTCCTCCCAGATTGCATTACTCACAGGTGGTGCTTGATGCAAAATTGCTTGGGAGCATGAGCGTGGGCATGCGCACCTGTGATCACGGACACCTGGGATAAGAGGGCTGAAGGGGGCCCCTCAGCCTGGCGCCACAGAGGCCAGGGCACTTAGGTGCTGCCTCCTTGCCTATTGAGTGTGATCCATGTTCAGCAGTGAAGGTGCCTTAGATACCGAAGGCTTCAAAAGCCTCTTTTTGCCTGCCGGAACCAGCAATGAACCTACCAGGCCCGGGACGGTTGCACAACACCTGGTACCCGGTCTCTGGCCTGTCCCCAGTTCCCTCCTGCCTCCAGTGCAGGTATATCTACTTCCAGGCCTCCTGAATATGGAGAGGGCTGGGCATCTCCTCTGTAGGGTAAACAAAGTAACCAGGCTTTTTAACGACACTACCCTCTGGCTCTCACCTTTGGCCTTGATCGTGTTAATGCAGAAGGCCTTGGGCGTGGCGTGGGCATACGTGCCTGGTGGTAAAGGATGGCGTCACCCGGAGACAGACTATACTATGTGAGGACGCGTGGCCTGACTACAGGAGAGGTGAGACCATGTAACAGTGAGTGTGGGAGATGCCAGAGAGGGTCCCCGGCCCCCAACATCCTGGCCTGGTGTGCCGCTGGCCCTGCGAGAGCTTCGAGGCCTATAAAACCCACCGAGGGCTCCAGCCCATCAGCGTGAATCCAGCGTGAACTGCCCCACGCTGCTGGCACCAGATCCTCCTTCCTTCCAAGGACCTGCCACCTTCCTTCAGCTTCTGTCTTCCTCCGTGTCTGTCATCTGTCTCTGCCTGGCCAGTCTGCTGAAGCAAAAATAACCAGTGCCTGCGATCCGGGGGGCCCTGGAGGCGGCTGGTCTGTGGGAGGGGTTCTGAGAGACCGTGATGGCAGGAGTTCTTGGGTCCCGGGGAAAGGCTCCCCTCCTCAGCCAGTGTGGTTCTTCATTCCTTCTCTCCCCCTGCAGCACTGATAAGTAATGACTTTGATGGGTTCAGGGTCAAGAAGCTGGGCCCTGGCCATTTACCTGGGCTGATGCCATGGCAGGGGTTTGAGCCTATGTCCACTGATGCACTCAGTAGTCAAATGGTCTTCCACTCGGCTATACCCCCACACTGATGCACTCCGAAAGCATGAGGACAGGGTCCAGCAAGGGACCCTGGGCAGCTGTCCTTTGGCAGCCTGCCCTGGAGGCATCCTCTGATCTCACGGGGATCAGTGTGCCGTGTCCCCACCTGTCCCTCTGCTCACTCCACACCCCCTCATTGCATCCATTCTGTCCAGTAACAAGGCAGAGCAGTCAACACCACGCTCTTCTGCTCCTGCTTGCTGAAGGAGGTGACCAGCCAGGCACTGCGCTGGCCAGAGGAAGTCCAGAACCAGTCCTGGGCGGGGACATCCCCAGGGCAGGGAGTTTTGTTCCTGAAGCCAGGGGTGTGACAGCGGACATCCCCAGCCTTTGTTGGAGGTCCTTATCCCATCCAGGCCTGACCTGGCAGCCCCCACCCCCCACAGTCCTACTGACCTCCCCTGCCCTGTGCTGCTGGGACTGGTGCAGACCCACAGACCTCATCCCCACTCTTTCTAGTCCATCCAACCGCTTGCTCACAGGGCTCCTGTTGTTGGGAATAAAATGAGTACTCACCAGAAAGCGCCCCCTCCTGTTGGGGGGCAGGGCTCACAGTACCCACAGCTGAAATGGGGAGGCAGATTCACTCCCTGTCTCTCCAACAGACTGGGCAGCACTTGCCTGGTCTCCCCTGTAGGGAGGGGACCAGGGAAGACCTCAGGGGTGAGGGGACCCCACAAGGGCCGGCTCTGGTCCCAAGGACAAAGCCCCTGTGCAAAGTGTGATGCTCAGACCTGGCAACCTCAGGAAGGTCCATCTCGGTGGCTCTGCCTTTCAAGGAGGGAAGCCCTGCTGGGTCTGTCCAAATGCAGAGGCTCAAGCGAGCAGAGGTTGGAGGACTTGTTTATTCAAGGCACGGTCATAGCATTAGTAACAAGAAGGTTCGGCATTCTGGTACATTCCTTTAGTGGTGGTAGCCAAGGGAAGTCCAACCCCCACCGGGCCCCCAAAGGATGCAATGCTACTGATAGGCACTTTGCTTCCAGAAGCTTCTGAGGAAGAGGCAGGCAGGCATGGAGCTGCTCCAGGCCTGGTGGGGCACTTCTGGGAGGTTCTAGGCAATATCACCCCACCCCCTCCTCACCTGGGGCAGCTCCCTCTAGAAAGGATTTGGTTGGAGAGAGGGTGGTTCCGTGACAGGGGGAGGCCCGCTGGCGGTGCAAGGTGGGGTGGCAGTGGGTGGAGGCTTTGGGCTGAGAGCAGGGGTGTGCTTGGGGGCTAGAATGTGGTGTGGGAGGTGCTCAGCAGGCTGAGGCCCCTGCTTTCTCAGAACCAGACCCCCTTGACCCAAATTCAGAGAGAGGAGCCCTCAGCCGTGCAGCCATGTTTCCTGCTGGGAAGCCTCTATACGTAGCGTCCACAGGCTGAGGTGGTCAGCAGAGGAGAGAGGGACAGAAGGAGCAGCAGAAACAGCCCAGGGGGGGCTGCAGCAGAAGGGGGCAGGCACCAGCAGCTAGCAGCTGACACAAGAGAGCCTGCAGCCTTGTCTGCTGAGACACCCCAGCACGCACACTGGGACAGGCTGCAGCTGGGCAGGGCTGAGCCGGCCGCCTCCTCACAGGGCTCCCTGTGGATGCCCTGGCCTCTCTGCCCAGAAGGGCGCTTCCCCTTGTTGGTGGGGGAGATGCCTGGGCAGAGGTCCTGGGGCCTGACAGGTAAGCGGTTCTGGGTATGATTTCCTCCGTATTCCTAGCCAGACAAGGAGGGGGACAGACCACCTCCCCAGTCAATCCAAGGCCTGCTGAGAGACGCCTCAAGCCAAAGTTTGGGCCGAGACCTGGGGAGAGGGGCTGTTTTGCTCCTTAAGTGCTATCTCTTGCCTGGGGGAGGCCTGGAGCTTCTCAGGCTGAAATGTAGACAAAGGTGGAGAAAGGACCAGGCCCAGGTGATCTGAGCGCAGGGGTGTGTGGGGGCCCTCCTTCAGCAGTTTGGCTGCATGGACCCAGATGTTTGGAGCTCAGGAGAACCCTAGAATATGGGGACCCCATTCAACTGGACTTGTTCCGGCTTATGGAAGCTCCAGCTGGTCCTTTCCCAGTCCCTCCCTCAGCTGCTTAGTATCCTGGTCGGGGTCCGCTCCCCTCCAGCAGCACAGGCGCCACGCATCACCAGCACTGTTACTGGCCAGGATTCTGCTCCTGGCCGCCCTGGGAGGACAGAAAGGGCGTCTTTATGGAAGACACAGGCCCCTCACGCCTGCACTCTTGCAGGGCAACCCCAGTCTGAGCTAGGACTACCCTGGACGCCACTCTGAGTGGCTGTCAGTCCAGGCCCCAGAGGAGAGGGCCGGAGGCCCAGGAAAGCCGGTGCCCTCAGTCTGAAGGATGGACTTCTTCCCAGGGTGGGGCCAGGCACGCCGGGTGCCGGCAGGGACAGCTCTCAGTGGCCAGTCTTGGCCTTGGGGGTCCTCTCAGTAGGCTCTGGGGTGTGGGGCGGTTGATCTAGTTTCCCTTCCCCCAGGATTTTGGGAGAAGACCCCTCCATGGATTCTGCCTCTGCCCCTCCCCACCGGACATTAACCAGCCGAGGCTGCCTTCATCAAAATGCACACAGGTCTCGTTTAATGAGCCCGAGTGACGGAGCCCCAGCTGCTCTTGCAAGAACAGGAAGGAGAAGGGACTCGACCCCGCTGCTCCTGGGGACATCTGGTGCGGGCCAGAGTCTGGGAGGGCCTCGGACGCGCCTCTCGGGTCTGTGTCAGGTCTGTGTTCTCAGTTACTCCTGGCTCTGCACGGTGCAGAAACTCTTCATGGATGCCCACGCAGGGCACCCGGACACGATGTTCACCTGTGCTTGTCGGCGAGGCCCAGCACACGAGCCTTCGCCCCCTCAGACTGCAGAGGCAGGGTGGGCAGGGGAGGGTGGGCTGGGCGGCCACTGCAGCAGCAGCTCCTGGGCAGGGTGGCTGGTGGGGGGTGGCGAGGGCCCCGAGAGTCTTTGGTGGGCCTCTTTCTACCTCCTCCCTCTTGCGTATCTCCTCTGTCTCCACCCCAGCAGAGTACCCCAACCTTCAGTCGCCGTGCCCAAAGCTTCAGCCACCTTTCCCAAGACGTGGCGCCAGCCTGTCTCCTCCGACCCATCCGGGTCCCTTTGCACTGCCCAGCAGGGCGGCAGGAGGGGCCTCCACAGGCCGGTGGCCAGGGCGGCAGGCAGCTCCACGCGGGCCTCCCCAAAGTCTGCAGGAAGTAGCCAGGAGGTCCAGGCTGCCCTCCTGCCCAGCCAGCCCCTGGCTGCCACTCCCAGCTGGAGTCGCCAGGTGGAGGCCTTGGGTCCTGGTCAATGGTACTGGCCCTCGTGCTCCAGTTCCAGCCCTTCCTGGAACTGGGTCGAGTCCAGCTCCCTGACAAAGCCCGTTGACGCAACACTCGCCTCGTCCTCCTCTCCCAGCTGTCTGCTCATGCTGCCGTAGCTTAACCGGGCTTGGGACGAGGCTGGGGTCAGGTTCATCTCTGGCTCTTGCAGCACGGTGGCCATGTAGAGCTGCTCCGGGCAGAGAGGGGACATGGGGAGAGGTCACATCTGGGACAAGGCCCTGGGCCCACCCTTCCCCTTCATACCCTCCTCCCAAAGTCTCCAGGCCATGGGCCCTTCTTCCCACAAGTCCAAGCCCTTCCATCCCACCCCAGCCCTGTTGCTCTTGATGACTGAATGAACAAATGGACCCCCAGGGCTGGAGAACGCAGGACTGGAATCTGGAGAGACCCCTGTTCCTGAGCTAGTGTGCTTTCTAAGACAGTTTCCGGGATGCCTCCCTTTGAGCCTGTCATTGGTTGGCCTCTGAATCTGGGTTTGCAAGGAGACCTGGGTCATGTGGCCTTCAAATCCAGCATGACCCATGACCCCTGGGAAGACAGCGGGTCAGGAAACACAGGCGGGACTGAGGGTGGTGGGTGGGGAGAGCTACTTGGCATCCTTTGAAGTCACTCAAGCCCAACTCCTTCATTTGAAGATAGGTAATTAGGGGACAATGAACTCAAATAGCCTCGGTTGATGAGGGAGTTCTTTTCCTACCAAAGAGTCTAGAATATTTGCATAATACCAAAGTAAGCACCACCGATGACCTTCCATAAGGAGACACTAACACTGGAGGAAGCCAGCTGTCACCCCCCAGTCCGGGAGTCACTTCAGCATCACCAGTGAGAACCTACGGGCGGCCATGCGTCTCGGACGCAATGCTGCTGGGAGTTGTAGCCCCTGCGCTGAACTTGCGTCATGCAGCCTTTGGATCCAACAGCTAGCTTTCAGGAAATAGAGGAGTTAGTAGAAAATGCTGGAGGAGCTCGTGAGAAACAGCTAGAAAAACTGAGAAGGTGGGACAGGCTGCAGGAATATTGGCTTGATCTCACCAACAAATCAAAAGAAGAGAAGGCGCTGATAGAGCAGGGACAGACAGCTGCTAGATCAATGGGCCACCAAGACTGGGGGGGTCTTGGCTGGGGATACTTGGGTTTGCAAATGGACAAAGTGTTTGAAGATGCAGAATTTATATGTGGGAAGCTAGAGCTTGTTAACTAAAAATGCAGGCTATAAAATAGTATGCAGTGCTGCATTTTAGCAAAAACTTTGTATTTATCTGGGAGAATGAATGCTAAAGGTTGCCAGTGGTCATATCTGGGTGATAGAATATGGAGACTTTATTTCCTTTTTTTCCTGACCTGTATTGCCCCCTTAATTATCTGCAATGCTCACGTAATACTGCTGTAATGATGAAAGATTAAAAAAAAAGATTCCTTTAGAGTTGGATAGACCTGCTCGGACCTTTGTTCTGTGTGCCTGCTCAGTGCCCTGGGCTACATTAATTGACCTGTGTGAGCCTCAGTTTCCTCAACTATAAAATGAGATCAAAGACCCTACTTTGTAGTTTTATCATAACGATTAAGAGAAAGAGTGGTAAAAGGTAGGTCTGTAAGATTTCAACAACTGGTGGCCAGTGGTGTTCCAGAGGAATGTGCTGGAAGGGCTGACCTGCAGTTCTGTGCCCACCCCTGTGTCTGCTTCCCTCCATCCCTGCCCAGACCGGAAGCCGGTTCTCCCTCCAGGCCCTGCCAGCCACTCTGCCTCACCTACCACACTGGAACCTGCCTTCAGCTCTTGCCTTCAGTTCCACTCTCTTCCCCCACGCCCCAGTCCCCGGACACACCCTGTTCCCATTCCTGGAGTCGGGCTTAGACCTTTCCTCCTCCAGGAAGCCCCTTCCCTAAGTGCTTGGTCCTCCGTGGACCCTGGAATCAGGGCAGGGTCGACCCAGTACCCAGCTCAGTGCCTTGGTGATTCCGTGTCCACATAAGTGGCTGGGATGCGGGTCAGTGCTCCTTCCAGGCTGAGCTCTGGTGTGGGAGTCAGTCTGCTGGGCCCCTGGCCCTGGCCTTCCCTTGCAACTGTGGTCTCACTTACCCGGTGCTGCCCCCAGCCTCCAAGACCTCCCTGCAGCTGGTCTGCGCACTCGCCTGGCACCTGTGCCCCTCGGGGCACCCTTTGGTCCTGAGGCTGAGCACCGTTCCTTCCTGCATCTACACAACTGAGCTGGTTGTGGCTGGGTTTGCCCTGACCTTTTTCTTCCTCTCTGAGTTCTTCCTAGAGAATCTCCGGTAAATCTTGCTCCTTCCTTCGTCCCAGTTCTTCAGCCAGGGCCACGGCAGCAAGGTGACCTGGGCCAAGTCCTGCTGCATCAGAGGAGGGACCCCGGAGGGTACCGTCTCCTCCCCACGCCGCCAGCCCTAAGTGCTGGTGCTCCCCACAGGGATGTAGGAGGGGCCCAGCCTACAGACAACCCCCCCACCCTGACCTGGCCCCTGGGAAAAGGCTCAGACTCACAAGGGAGGTGGGCGTGGAGGAGGTACTGCTTGGCTCCATGTCAAACACGGTTTCCCTTTCTTCCTCGGGCTGCAGAGAGAGGAGGAAGGTCATGGAACAGAGCAGGTCTGTCCTCTGGCCCTGCCCTCCCTATTCAGAGGACCCTGAGTCCAGTTCCTGGGCCTCTCACTTCCCCAGATCTCGGCTCATCTGTTTTTCCCAGGCCTTCACAGCTGGCAGGAAGCCCGGTAGTGTGGGATGGGGGTGGTAGAGAGGAGACTGGGATGGTAGGAGAAGCTTCAGGTATATCCCGTCCTCAAGGGCCATAATGGGAAGAAGTAAGCAGAATTGAGGCTAGGTTCCAAGAGGAGCCTGTTTTGACTCTAGAAAGAAACCTTGACTTCAACTCTACCTTTCCATGTGAGAGGCCCCTATATCTGCCACAAACCCTAAGCCCAGGTGCTCTAGGTCTTTCACCACCGTCATCCTTTAGAGCAGACCCAGATCACTTGCCATCCTTGTGCTGGGAAGAGACACCAGAGGTGCTGGTTGCTTTGGGTTGTTCTGGTCCTTCGTGAGCAGGACAGCCTGAAGCTCAGCCCTCCAGGTGATAGAGGAGGGGCCAGGCAGGGAGGACGCC